GTTACTGAGGAACTAAGCTACACAAAATTAGAGTAGTTACTGAGGAACTAATGAGGAACGAATGAGGAACTAATGAGTAGTTACTGAGGAACTAATGAGGAACGAATGATCAACTAACTATTAGTTAATGGTCAGTTCTTCAGTACCTCCTGATCAAATTTCAGAGAAGGAACTAATGAGGAACTAACTATTACTTAATTATTACCTACACTTTTTGTGTACCCTAAAGTAAAGTGAGACATCAAAATGAGTAGGGAGTGATACCTACTCATTTACTTATTGTAAAGTATATACACTTCTGATTTCGCGGGAAATGTACAGTTTCTGCTCATTAGATGCGTACATGTTTTTCAAAATAAACTTACTATGTCTGTAAAACAACTCATTTGTTCATTTAGTTCCTTGTGCAACAAAAGCATGTGGTTAGGGTTTAGAAAAAAACATCATGGTTTGGCTCTAAATTCACTCAGGAAGTGAGCAGCAAGCTCTGGGTGAAAGTCCGGGGTTTGTTGGACCTATCCACCTCCCCTCCTGTCCACCCTATAAAGGCTTTCCAGTTCCTTATATTATGTTGTTACAAGCAGCATAAACTGACGCTGCCCGGCAGAGTATTTGAGTATTTGATGAGTTCAGAATGAAAACAGGCTGGATGAACACAGTATATGGAAATTTACATGGCATCTGATTTGAATGTTTCACTGTCTTCTCCACCGTTTTACAGTCTTTGTTCCACTACATCTGCTTCATAACATTCTTCTTCTTCTCCCATCCTCTTTCACTTCTGCACTGTCTTCTACTTAGTTTTTTCCTATTTACGTTCATTTCAACTTGTCTTTCTTCTTCTCCTCTTCCATCCTTTCCCTGTACTCTTCAACTCTTCTCTTTCTCCTTTCCATCAACTCAGACACTTGAACTTGGTGTGTGTCTAATCTGTGGATAACATTGTAATGATGGTGTTTCAGCTGCAGAAGATGAAGCAGCTGAGGGCCGTGTATCCAGAGAAGAAGGTGTACACGCAGCAGGTCGGTCCAGGCTGCTGCTTCGGCGCTCTGGCTCTGATGCTGCGTTTCTACTTTGAGGTGATTGTCATGGAAATAAAAAAAACCCTAACACATAAATACTATAAAATGTCAAGGTCATGGTGACATGGTGAGACTGCTACGCTCTCACTTATTTATAAGGATTATTAAAGTGCTAATTCACCAATCGCTAACATTTTTTTTAAATCAACTTCAGTCTGAAGTTTCCCATATGCAGCTTTTATCAAAACATTTTGTTTTTCATTGACATATGGCAGCCAACAGTCTAGATAAATATCTTCATAAATAGAATGTGCTGTACTGTCTTTGCTACAGGAGTGGGACTATGCCTATGTCCACAGCTTCTACCATCTGTCTCTGGTTGTGTCCTTCATCTTGCTGCTGCCAAAGAAGAACCGATACGCAGGGACGGGACAAAATGCTGCAAAGCTCAGCTGGTTCACTCTCTGCTGCTGTGTATGTTGCATTTATTAAATCTAAATGAGAAAGGAGTTCAGAGGTCAGCTGTGCAGGTTATATGTGAGGGCAGGATAGACTTGCATGGTGTGGAAGAGATAAAATGTTAGAGGTCATATCATTTAGAGGGTAAACTGACCCTGTAGTGAAGCAGCATCATTCACAGTCAGTCAAACTGTCCTTCATGTCACCCTCATCCTGTTCCTTTATTGCCCCCCCCAGAGCATGTCCCCTGGTACTTCTAAAGAGAAGACAGACAAGCCAAAGAAGAAGCTGTCTCGGACTGTGTGGACAGTCCCCACCGAGAAGCCGTGGACACGACGCTGCAGCACCCCCATCCTGCCCCTTTTTAATCCCCCACCCTCCACACCTGTCAAAGGGACCAGCATCAGCAAGCTAAAAGAGATGAACGGCTGGAAGTGAACCCAAAAACATAACTGTCAGTCGGTCTAACGTAGGAGGACTTCATCCTGAAGAACAGGCAGTGACAGTGGCCGGCTACGAGCGGGAAACGGGAAAATCACCAAATAACTGTCAGCCAAATGCTGATAAACTTGTATGTGGCTGGTAAGTTAATCTTCTTCAGCAGGAAACCAACCATCATGTGGACGTTCTCCTCTTCTCCAAAACATCATATTTGGCTGGTAGAATATTTAAGGTCAGCAGCGACTTCAGGAATTCTCCAGCCACTGACACTAGTAGGTTAAGAAGCAAAAGGATCCTGATGTGTGTGGAGTCAGGCCTCAGGTGCCCTCAAAGACCCGATAAGAGCACAGCTGTCTAAAGCACTTGTCCAAAGCTGAGGACGCTACGAAAGAACACACACAGCACGGACAGGGAGACGGTGGCTGAGACAAGCCAGTAAAACTGACTGGAAAATTTATGAGAAGAACAAACAGGCAGATGGTTTATCTCTCCAAAATATATAAATTGTCTTTAGAAATGTTCCTCAGGGGAGACGCTTCGTCTGCTCGCCTCTGTCTGTCCGTCCCCCTCCTCTTTCTCCTTCCCGTCTCTCTCAGGGAAAGGAAGCACGCGGCTGAATTTGTTTATGAGAATTACAAGACTGTAAAGCACATTTTACCGTTTTTATACGTCCTCGAGGTGCCAAATGTGTCATGTGGAGCATCAGACGTTGGAGAGAGGGGAAGTGGCGTCCCAGACGTCAGTCTGTAACCCGACTGAAGCATCTTGATGTGTTTCTGGATCAGCAGGTGGACTCATCTGTCTGTTAACTCTGGTTCACTGACCGAGCAGCTTTGGCTTCGACTTCTGTCCCAAATGTGCACTGTTCAGACTGCTGCAAACTTTTATCATTATCATTATCATTTTGTTATTTATTGCAGATTGTATATTCAGTTTAGTGTGTTTGTTTTTGATAACTTTGTTATATTTTGAAAATAAAATGAAATGTTGTGACCCTGTTTTAACTGGTCTTTAGGGACAGGATGGAATTTTAACAGCCTCAACCATCTGAGCCATTATCATAATGCAGTGTTATGTACTTTGCAGAGGCTGACCACTGATGAAAATCCTGACTGGCACATACTTCAAGGCCCAGTCCAGTCTAGGAACACTAATCCAATTCCAAACCCACATATCCCATTCCACTTTCACTTCAGGAGGGCATGGAGTTGTGCGTCCGCGCACGTCACCTGCCCCGAACACTACCCAAAGACTACAAACGTGTTCTGCGTATCTTAGACAAAACAATCTCCGGCCAAAACGTGAATGAACCTCCCCTCCACCAGGGAATGTTTTGAGTCGGAGCCAAGCCGCCAGCTCCTGTGCCCAGAGAAAGGTGTTTTTGTCTGGGCTCAGAAACTTGGCTTGCTGGGCCACCGGCACCACCCGGCTGGCTGTGCCTCCCGGCCCTGACAGGACAGTAACTCGAGCCTTTTATTGCACAAGTGTGAAACACTTTTCAGCTCCTTTATGACCACTGTCTATCCCGCACCACTCTGCTGAGGGGCTGAAGCCCACACACGTTCAGGCCCGAAGTACCATACTTGTGAGGACTTTCTTCTGTCTCTAATCCCCCGACCTTAACAATACAATTACCAAAATATGACATTGACCGAATCCTAATCCTGATCCTAACGACAAGCCCTGACCTCAAAAGACCCATCATGAGGACCTGCTAAAAGATTTTCAGGATCAATTCACTCCTAGGACGAGGTCCTCACAAGAACAGAAACACAGAATCACGCACACACACACCGTCTGAGGGTCTGAACCTGGGCCTGTCCGCTGCAGGTTGTACTGGGCGGCCGCACTGCTCTACAGACACTGACAGTGTCAACACAATAAGCGCTGATTGACATGTGTGTGAGCGTGGCCGTCTCCGTGGTCGTCTGCACCTACATTCCACGGTGGCGTGGAATTTCAGTGGGTATCGAAATATAATACATCTGAACAAATAAGAAAATACGACTTCGACACCAGAAAAGAGCGCTTTCTCCAATAACCCACATGACCGCTCAGAGAAGGTGAAGAGAAAATACGCTGCATTAGAGTCAATTAAGCAGCAAAGCGCACGGCGTGAAGTGACTGCGACAGACTGAGGTATGTTTGGTATGTTTGTGCTTTAAGCTGTGTGGTGTGGGTACTTTCTATGGTGAGACTGCAGCCTGTGTGCCACAGGTCCTTTCTCTGTGTGTCAGCTGTTGCCACAGCTGTTGTTAATGCTGCGAGGCCAGCTGACTCTCAGAGAGCAAAACAGAGCTGCAGCCACAACACATCTTCACTGCTCTTACTCACTACGTGTACATGCACAGTGAAGTCGAGCTATAACTGTAGCTTAACTGCACTACTGTCCTTGTCCCAGTATACAAGCACGAGAGGGGAATCCATTTATTGAGCCAAGTATGTGCGACTCCTCTACGA